TTGCGTAACGCTTCCTGCAACTATGAACTGTGACCTGCGATAAAACACAGTGCGTGTGTATAATTGTTCATTTTCTGGGCTTCACTTTTGCAACCTGCGCCTCGTTCGCAGTCTATGGAGTGTTGAAAAGTGGAGGTTGAAAATTACGCGAGTAATTTGCAATTAAAAATATTTGAAATCGATGTAAAGATTGAGTTATTATCTCTACGTATCCATCTATCAGGTTGCTTAATGAATAATGCACTTTACATTATATAGAACTTTTAAATAAAATATACACAAATTATGAGAAAAGTTTTGATTCCGCTATATATAGTTCTCAACATAATAATCTCTAATATTACGATTTTAACGCACATTCCCAGATCGTAATACGGATTAAAAACCTTACGCCTAATTACCTGCAGAATCGTGTTAATCTTATGTAACCGTCTGGTAAAACCCATGCTCTAGTTTACCACGCGTTCTCGCAGCATCTCAGTAAACGACGTATCTGTACCTACTCTATTCTTCCATCACATGACAGTTTATTTTAAATTAATGTACACCTGAGTGATGTAGAGCGAGTAATTCTTTTTGAAGAAATCCACCGATTTTTAATCACTTAAATACAAATAATATTAAATTGAGAAAGACTTTATTGCAAAACTAACTTGTGCCCGCGACTTCGTCTGCACAGAATAAGTACTTCAAGTAGCCTACTGTACTACTTACTTAAGAAATGATTGCTATTTAGAAAAATAAAGCGTCTAACGTGTATTTGGAAAATATCATACGAGAGCGATTAAAGTAGTTTTTTTAAGAAAAAAACTGTAATTTTATGTGTTATACGGAAAACTAGAAAGTTTCAGATTTTCCATATAAGAAATAAAATTTGAGTTATGATTTTCGTTTATCTTAAAAAATACTTCCTTCTCCAGTAACATTTTCCAAATGCACGTTAGACGTTTTACCTTTCCATTGTCGATTGGTTCTCCATACAAACTTTCATCGCCCTTTAAGATCCCATCTATTTCTATATGAAATAAAATTTATCAATATTGATTCAACGATTTGGGCGTGAAAGTGTAAAAGACAGAGTTACTTTCGCATTTATAATATTAGTTTGGATGAACGCAGAATCTGGCATTGATTTTGATGTATAAAATGCAATTTTAGAGACAATTAAAAAAAATTTTTTTTGTTGTCTTTTTATTTTACAAACATGTTCCGAAGAAGCAATCTTACAAAGTTATAATTACTAATTCATATTTGCCTTCTTCGTAAAGTAATAATAAATTACTCCCAAAGATGGTTTCGAAACAATTTGCAATCTATCATTGGCGATTCCTATCAAAGAAAACTTTAAAATTAGCACACTACTAGACTTATTCAATAGTGATAATCGTAATTATACATAATAGAGTATGTAAATTAGGCGATCAGGTCGTTTGTGAGCTCGCGCACAATGCAAGAGCGTAATGACCATTGCCTGCCATTGCAGAGCTGAGTGTGGCCGGAGTATGGCAATAGTCGTAATTTCCCCAAAGGTCACCGCTACTGCATAATGGCACTAAATAAACATAATTATTGCAAAACACATCTTCGTTGTAAATTTGAACGCAACTTGTCAGAACGTTGCAGATTTTGCCACTACAAGTATACCTAGAGCGATGATTCTTTTTATTAAGTTAAAAGGATTTTTTTTTTGTAGATTTTGTATATGTCTTAATTTACTCATTTTCAATCAAACATTGGACGCCGTAGAACAGTTATATTAGAATTTGGTACGTATTCCGAAAGCTCACCGCAAGTTTCTCACACGAAAAGTCGCGATACGAAGAGGGCCACCTTGATGTTATTCTGTACAACATGTAAGCATATTCCGTTGTTGGTTGGGCCACTCAAGGTTAATATTACACGTCTTAACACAGGGTTTAAAACGGTAATATTGAAAGGCAACGGTTTGTACTTACTCTGGTGTATGTGTACCAATACCCACAAGTAGGTTTAACTTCGTAGTTCGCTTAGCGCTCTCGCTTATTAAATGTGAAGGCAATAAAAAGACACTAAATCGTAACGCAACCAAACGTAACGCATCTTGTGTTTCGCATCACAAGCATATCGAATTGTATTCTATATTCCGCCATTTCGTTTGAACGCCGATCGAAATCATATACGCCTACGATTATATGTGATAATAGGTTTCGAAGGAACACAGCCATATACTATTTCTTCAGATTTATTTGGAGCAGTTGCACTTGACATTTTCTTTTGAAAGTTATTGACAGAGCAAAATGCTACTGGTGCTATTAAATTAAAAGCTTGTTTACAATCTATTAGCCCTGTATTAACTATAATAGTTTAATTATAGATAAAGGAATTAAAAGCCGAGCTTTTTAAAAGCTCAAGTAGTTATTAACTGCTTTTGATTTCTTGACACTTGACTCTGTGAGAAAAAATTTATTTAACCCAACTTTCAATTACATTTACGTAAAAAAAATCCCATTAATTTTGTAACAGTTGGACGAGTCCAAGGAATTCATATTTTACACTTTCAGTCCCGGATACGTATTTTTTTCCCCCATTAAATAACAAATAAATAATGTAAAAGTTTATTTCAATATTGCTATTCTTCTTCCATTCCAGCTTATTCAATTTTTAACGTAGGTACGTGGTAGATTTCATTATAAAATTCATACATAATCTTATATGGACAATATTTAATAATATTTAACAATATTTAATATATACAACCATCAACCCATTTTCATTTATACGTTCCACTTCTGGGCACGAGTCTCATCTCAGGCGAGGGAGCCGCCGTGCTGGCTCTATGCGGGCCTTTTTAAAGTACAGTTTTTATCACGATGTTTTTATGCTACCACAGCTTAACATATATAACTCAAAGGCGCTTGAAATAGAAAGCCTAGTTTTAATTGTTTATCTTCATGTTTGATCGCCTGTAATACGTTATGGGTAACTAACAATGGTGACATTTGGTTACATAAGGTCATTATATTTAATGGACAATAAAATGGACAAACGGACAGACGAGTACGATAAACACAGAATTGCGCAAATTGCGTACCTACGAGTTACAAGACTTTTGTACGCTTTGCATATTTTTTATTGCGAAGATGCATATTTGATTAAAATTAACGACGAGCCACCATCACTGTAACCTTTGAAGCCGTAAAATTTTGTTTGTCCTTACCATGTTTTTGTTGTTTTCTATTAAAATGGTTTTATTTTTATATTGTAGTTATATTTTCTTGGCATCATATAAGGAAATTAAATAAAACGCAACTGCTAAGACAAATGATGTAGTAATTATGCATGGATTACTAATATACTCTTCAATAACATAATAAAACGAACACATTACCTATGTTATATTACAGTACCGACATAATAATTTACAAATGAATGTGTAAGAGGTAGAGAAAAATCATTTTCACTGAAGGCAACGACCATGTTGGTCATTACCGTGTGCCGCTACGCGTGCCGATCACGGATAATGCTTTAGTTTGTTTGAGGTATTAGACATACCTAGAATTGTAAATAAATTCAAATGACTCTCAATTTGTACGAGAATTATTTTTTTTTTTTTGTTATGGTGGCAATGACATAGTATTAGTAGATTACTAGGGAACCTGAAGCCGAGAAATGATTCCTATTTTCAAATCCGAACCTAATAAATAAATACCTAACGGGAACATGCACGCCACTCGAAAGTTCGTTTTTCTTTAATATAATTTTATGTGCGCTAGCTGTTGACTGCCTTAATGCCGAATATTATAGATCTTATTGGTCGTAATTTCAAGTAAGAATGTATCCGCTCTCGTAACTGTTCGAGAGTCGAGTCATACAAAAGACATCAACGGCAGACGCTGGAGCATTTAAGTCGCCTAGTACAATAAAACCTGCCAAAACGTGAGTATTAACTATTGTTATGATTTCTGTTGCAAATGATAAAGGTAATTTAGTATTTATTTGAGAATTATGTTATAATTAAATGTGGTTTTACAGCAGAGCTGTCACTGTACTAATAATTTACAAATAATATTGCGCACATAATTACTTTCACTTATAATAGGTATGTATTCTCCATAAAAATTATAATGCTAATTTGCTACATCATAGTAAAGTATGCATATTTATTTACTTTTCAATATACACGGATGCATACTGTATAAAACAAATCAGGTTTTTTAGTTCGATATTTAAACGATGCTGACAAGGCGACAAAATAGCTGATCGGAATTTTTTTATAAATTTGAGATCAAATTTCAGTTTGATTTTCAAATTATAAGAATCCAATGTTCTAGAACGTTTTTTAAACGTATACGTACAAAATATTATAGCATTTTTTCTAGTATTACGAGTATACCACTAAATGTTTAGCCTCATTTATAGAGCAAAGTAAGGACGACGCGTTTCGTCAGTGAACGTAAAATGCCGTGTGATTGCCTCTCCAAACCTCCGCCAAGGATAGTACCAAGTAAAATGTCACAGGATTACACTTATTACCGCATTCTCGTTCTTACATATTCAGTTTACAACTGGTTATTCACGGTCCAGCGTATAGTTAAATGTAAAAACGCTTCCTGGTGACATTTAGTTAAATAAAAACATAAACATACACTTGAGTAATTACTCAAGTAATCGCACATGTTTATCTCTAAAGAGCGTAAAGACGTCATAATTGTAACAAACTCGTCCAAGAAAACTATGTCTTGAATTTAAAAATTGGTTATTTTATGTTGTACGCAGTACTTACGGTAAAGTAATAATAAGTCATAATGTATCATGTAATTAGGTAACATTTTTTACTGAGTACATGATAAATTGTCTACGACAAAGATGTCTAAGAATAATAATAAATCAGTAACAAAGTCGTAAAAAGAAAATGAAGTCGTTTTATTTTGAAAAGATAAAGGTAAAGATAAAAAAGTATTATAATAATGTAATTAATTGAAGTGTAAATGTGCAAATCGATTAAATTTAATAAAACTTACCAGAATTCTCCGCGTAGCGAGCTTAGTCTTCACCAAAGATGTAACACTTGCAAAATAGACAGTGATTCACTGGAATCAGAGTCAGTACTTTCAAACTGCAAATTGAATAAATATTTACTCTTAGTCATTTGTACATGGAGACTGATTTCGGTTGCATAAAACTTCGATTATGATTACGTATAAATGTATCGGATAGACCTCAACATGTATTTGATTGATTAATGCGATAAACCACACAAATGCACGATCATGTTTAGGTAAACCAAACCCGCGTTCTTCAGTAGGTTATAGGTATATTATAGACAGAGTTAATAATGTTAAGTGATGTAATACATTAAGTAGTATACCATCATCATCGAAGTTTCATAATCGACTCCTTAGACACACTTAAATTAATTTTCAATAAAAACACATTCGCAATATAGCGTTAATTAGATAAATTGTACAATCGAAAGATGAGGTTCTGCTTTGTTAAATTAATAATAGAAAGATGACAGAGAGTTTGTAGAGATGAAAGTGAAATTATCACTATAGACGACACATTTGCCGAAGATACGTACACGACATTTTGTATATGAAATATTGCTTATATAGGAAGCTAGAAGAGCGAACGGTAAAGAGCGTGTCACCTGTCAAATAAATATAACATTAACACAGTTCCTACATATTGTATAACTGAGTCATAACACTAATCTGACAAAAACTGAGCCTGCAGAGCGGCGGAACACGCCGGAGACAATGCTTCTCACGCAGCGACTAAGTCACTGGAGTTACGCAAAAATTGCACATAATTAGCCCCGGATTTTTTAAACATTCATTCGGACATTGTCTTAGAATATTTGACAAAGCAATGTTAGTAAACTAGGAGGGTGTGAAAAAACCACAATTATTGTTGGACTATTGTCTGATCGGGTCGGTCGGTGAACGGAGGAATTTCGGCTTCGAGATAAGATTAAGGTTATGCAAAATTCGGTCAGAGGTTAACTGAGCCCTGAAGAGGCATCAACACGATCACAACGCTATCAACAAGATGTTTAACTACGATTAAATAGGACTCCGAAAATGCATAATAAGTACATCCTCGTATGATCTATCATTGTACTGTAACATATCTGTATTAGATATGAATTCTTATTGAGTATTTAAAAGAGCGTAGTTAGCTAAAGATACAAAGAAAAAAGGCAAATATAAAATAGTTTACAAAACCTAACTGTCATACGAAAATATATGATCATAACGAAAGAAATAAAAGCGCTACAATGTCGCTACGCGGATAAAATTTCCACCCCTCTCGTAAGCCCAGCCATAGTCACATTTACACTTGGAAATTACTATTATCACTCATTATACTACATCATAATATAATCACTGAAACTATTAAGTTAAAAAAGTTATTAGCTGAAACTTCTGGAGTGGGGTGGAAAATCCCTGAAAACTTAAGGAAAAAAGGTTGTATTAAAAATCCTAATTCAAATTAAAACACTCGCAATAAGCAGTTTGAAAGCACTGAGCCCTTTAGGGCACAAAATATTTAATCGAATTTCGAGCGCGAAAATTGGAATTTAAAAAAATACCGAGAGCGTCTCTATCCGTGAGGCGTGTGAAGATGTGCACTCGGCGGACGGTCGCCGGCGAAGACTGCGTCGTAGTGCGCGCGCGCCGCCATACCACCTCGGTGGGTTTGCGATCTATGGAAAGGGGAGATCATCGCCGATTGTTCCCTTTATTAAGCTATAACGTTATTATTGGAATGTGACATGATAGGTGCCTACGAGTTTGCGCATAATACATAACAAAAGGTCCATTATGTATAAAATCATTAAATATATTCGTATGTCGTAATATCAAAACATCAATAATTTAAACAAAAATTCAATTTCATATAATTAACTATTTATTGTTTTCATTTTAAAATATTATTACTGTCCCATATATATCTCAATAGTGGTTATTTCAGAAAAATCTGATAAATAATAATTAACACTGTGAATGATTAAAAAAACCGATTAGTGTGTTGCTGTAAAAAGACTCCAGAGCTTCATAGACATATATTTTTTATCATATTTAGTGTTATGTTGACCAGTAACCAGTGACTTATTCGTGTAACAATGCAATTTTATATATTTTGTATTAAGACTTGACTCATTGTCATATTTAAGTTAGCTTCTCTTTGGGGTTAAAAGTTTTATTTTAAAACAAACGAAATAAATCAGACACCTATACATATCATTGATATAAAAATAGAAGGAAAGAAACTTTGGTTTACATGTGACAATTTAAAATGTTACCAAAATGGTCTTCACTTAGCTTTTTGTAACGAGATGTTAAAAATGCCTCGTGTCGCTGGTTTTCAGTGAATCCGGATAAATTATGACATCGCTTTGTTCAAATGAAAAGTAAAAAATAAACAAAAATAAACTCAACTTAGTGCAAATCAACCAAGAAAGAAAAAAGCTAGAAAACTAGTAAAATTTTGAATATTACTAGTTTTATTTTTAAAAAGTTATTGGTTTCGTGTTAATCATTTAGTAACGTACATTCGCAATTAGTTTAAATGATTTTGCACACTTAACGATTACATCCAGTATATATAGCTATAGTCATAGGAGATCGAAGAGTCCTATTACAAGCATTAAAAGGGAACTTCTATTACTAACAATGTAAAATCAAATCTATTGAAGAAACAAACTATTATTATTGTTATAAATTCACAACGACGACTGATTCTAGTGCAAAATCTAAAGGCAGAGACAATTTTATATTCAACACTTCATCTCGCTTTGTTGTTACATAGGATTAACATTAACAATAATAATAACACACAAACTCAACATAACAATACAGATTAATATTTAACAAGTTACGAAAATTTGTAAATTTATCAACAGGTAAAGATTTTGTTAACGTGTCTGCTTTTCTAAATTGGTTCTGGTCCGGATGGTCTGGATATTGCCCCAGAGTGACTTCCGTCGCTCTGGTACTCATAGTACAGGAAATTCCTTAGTTTAAGACCAGGCGATGGATGTGATTGTCGACACATTATTATTAATTAATCCAATAGTGACCTGTTTTAAAACTGCTTTCATCATATTTTTTTTAAAGCACACTCTCATAACCTTGCTTTAGGGGAACTCTGTGTCGCGGTGGCCATGAACACACATATAGGTGGACAAACACAAATTACACCCAAGCTGACGAGAGAAATAAATGTAGGCCATACAAATATTTATCCCGGCCCCCGAATAGAACCCACCGTGGCAGTCCACGTGTTTGCTTTCCTATTTGAGTGACTTTGACAATGACTTTATCGATTGACGAGCCGACAGACGGCTTGTTTTTCATGGTTATCGTATACTTTTTACGACAAAAATATTTATGATCTTGTTTACAAACAGAATAGTAGTGAGTATCTAGGGCATAGGGTATCTCGATGTTACTAGTAAACACCTAAAACGGACAAAGCTTACTGGTAGATAGTAAGATTAAAAGCAGTTGTCTCCAAACACAGTCATGGCCATATATATACTTCCTGTAAAATCGTTTCCGTCATATTATGAAAGCTGTTCAACAAATAAAGATAGCGTGAACCTGCGACCCTATATATCAATGCAGGTATAACGAGCTGTGCCCACGGGCGCACGCGCATAACAGCAGCTCGCGCAAATTGTCCCAACTACCATTATATTGTAGGCCATTGATATATGCATCGTCGTTTGTGCGTGGATTAATTTTCCAAACGTCAGTTTATAATATTTTCTTTCGACGTTAGTTGGCCAACTACCTAAATTTCGACCCTATGTGGTCAAATAAAATGGATTAATAAGCAATGAAATTTTATAGACTAGCAAAACAAACAGGAGAATTTCAGATTAGTTTTCTCTACCTAATTTCGGTGGCAATTTTTATTATTTAAATAGGTATTCTAGAATATTGTCATGAAGTATTACTAAAAAATCGAGTGTAATATTATTAGAATCGACAAAATTAGGACGACGTAAATTTCTAACGGCGTCCTACGAATTGTAGTTTTTACAAACATCACTAAATAATAAATAATTATACTTCTCATAATAAAGTTACGTCTGGCGTAAAAAGTTTATGGGACATGTCGAAAATATAGAGTCGATTAACTCGACTCTGGACAATGACTACTAGATAGTCGAGAAGTCGTTTGGCAGTAATTTTTAAAATATTATGAGAATGATTAAATTTTTTTCACTACTTGTGTTGGTTTCAACTACATTGTGACTTTTGGTGAATATTTATCCAATGTGTACTAGCTCAGTTACATATAAGGAATATTAACAAAAAGTACCACACGCCTATTCGCCATTAGTGGAGCGGACTGCTTTGATGAATTATATGAGTTATTTCCAGTTACAGCCAAATTATAAACGTCATTTAAATATAGTTCAGTCTATATATTTTACTTAGAGGATAGAAAACTTTTTAATATTGACTCTCGATTTCACTGATCGAGTCCGTCACTAGTTCTTGAAGTTTGACATGTGTCAGGGAGTTTCGAAATTGTGTGTGTGAGCACTGAGTGGCCACATGGCGCATTTGCAAATGAAGTGCTCCAAGTTTTAGTATTCGTTGTAAAATAGTTGTTTTGTTCAAGCGTCTTGGATTTTATAAAGAGAAGTTACAGCGGACTATCAAATCCGAGAAACCTTTAAATTTAAGCGTTTACACGTGTGCTTTGCATACATTTAGTAAAGATGTACTTAAATTTGTTTGCAAAAAAAAAAACAATATAAAGCACGAGCATGCTAAAAAGAAATGACGACTATGTCTAACCACGTGCATATCTTTAAAATAAATTAATAAAACCGTACTTTTTTGCTTCTAATTTTTGTAAAAGATATTAAGGATTTTATAAAGTAAAAAGTAGAGCACAAAAGTAGCACACTTTTGGGCAGTTCACATTTAATTATGATCACTCAGGCCACACAATTTATAAATGACAAAACATTTGTAAAGCTATAAATAGGTTTACGAAAACCTACCTACCAATATTTAGTAAAAATATCTACTAAATACCTGTGGTTTGTGCCGAAGAACGAAAAATTTTACTACTGACACTCAAACTAAATTTTACGGCATATAAGTTACCACTCGACCGGTCTCACACTATTATTTTTTATTTTACGGAATTTATGTGCGTAATTTAATTTATTTATTTATTAGGCACACCAACAGTTTTTACAATATTACATGTGTTAATTACATTTCAAAAACTTAGCTAACGTTATGTAAAAAAAAAATGTTTATACAATGTTTAAGAAAAAAAACTAAAAGTACCAAAAATAATTGTAAGACCAAAAAGGAAATAACTTAGGAAAAAAATATTTGAAGTAAATTATTTTTTAAAGTAATCAATTCATTAATTTGAAATTTACTATGAGCTTTTCAGTGAAGGAAAACATCGTGTTGAAACCTATACGTCGAAGAAGGTTCACAACTTTCGAAAAATGTGTGAAGTCCCCAACCCTATGGCCTAAATCCTCGTCTGAGAGGAGACCCGTGGCCAGTAGCAGGACGAATGAAATAGATTGACAATGATATGTTACCAGCTCCCGCTAGCGATTAGTTCACGCGGGGCTTTGTAGAGTAAATCATAATTGCTAACCCGTTTTTATTTTTGAGCGGTGGTGTTCAAGTCAAATGTACTTATATATAAGCTACGTTAGAATGACTTAAGTCTATTGGACTCAAAATATTAACAGCCAAAATGAATAGGTAGATGTAGGTAGGTGCGGCACATTATGAGATATCAATTAAGCATTAATAAAAGTGACGCAATATTATTACCTACACAGGACTATTTTATGTAAGTAATGCAGTGTCATGCCTTGTATAATATTTTTTGCAAATAAGGTTTAGCTTAGATTTTTGGTCTCGATCGCAGGTCTTGATATGTAATTGACGCGTAAATAGATGTTTGTCTCCTAACAATACGTCATTTTGTTCGTTGAATGGGCATTGAACGAGTACGCCACTTTATGTAACTGCAGATTGGGTTCGAAGAAGTTCATTCACATGCTAAGCTTTTGAACGTTTTACTGCCCTCTCTTCAATAAAGGGTTGCTCAAAATTTAAATTATTGCGTAAGGTGATGGCACCATTTGTTTACATTTTAAAGGAAGTGTGCCTTTTAATTTGAAACAAGTTTCTATTTTAAAACATTATCAATATTGATGAGTTTACTTGATAGATATAATCCTTAAGAAAGGTTTCATAAAAAAGCTACTATAATTATTACTACAAAAACGAAACTACAATTAACACCAAAAATTCACTAATTATCTAACCATTAATAGACACTCACTAATAATGAACACTCAGTAATTAACCTTACCAATAAAAAACGTGTTACTACGATAATTTTGTCCTAAATCTTATTAGAAATGAATTTTAAAAAAGAAGTCGAACACTGGTGCTTGTCGGTCAATGGCGTCATCACATTAAATCTACTTGCTATGTGTGCTCAAAGCACTGTGTGATTTAATTAACTTTAACAGGTAGGTCAAAGTTTACTAAACGATAAGCAGCTAGCGACATAATATAAGAATTATTTGTTATTACGATTCTTAATCAGACTGAAAATGAAGTTTCCTTTTTGTAACTGATACCTTCTTAGGTAGATTAGCCACTGGAACTACCAGGGCGCACTACTGCTG